AGTTTCTTCATTAATTAGATAAGTTGCTTTTTAAAAAAACTTCTTTTTATTTTTAAATGTGAAAATTATCGGCAATCTAATTTAGGAGCCCATAAAGAATTGAATTTGTTAGGTTATTTTTTTACTTTCTTTTAATTAATAAAAACTTTTTGGATGAAACTTCTAATAATTTAATGAGTTTTTATTTCTGATTTTAAATTTATAAATCTTGTTGTTTTTATTTATAGAACTAAAGTTAAAACAAAATTTATTTTTGTCATTTGGATTTGGACATAAGTCAATCAACTTTGTTTATACAAAAAAATTTGAAAGGTTCGTATTTTATTCATTTTTTAAATCATTTAGTACTTCGTTTTATTAGAGAGTATAATGATTTTTTTAAAAAAATATTCTTTTCATATTATTTGTGAATTAGCTAAATATATTATCGAATATCAAAATTTTTTTATTTTTAAGAAATTAAATCTTACTTTGTTTTTCGTTCATTATTTAATTTAATTTAATTATTTATCTGAAGTGATAAGGTCCCGCAGTGGACTGATCGTTAAGACACGGTTCCCTGCAGATCACCGAAGTCAAGCATCACTGGCTGCGGTCAGTGTGCGGGTGAGTGACCACTTGGATCAGTCTGCGTAGGGACCGAGGGTGTGCGGTATTGGTCCTCGTTAAACTGTTCTACCGTAAAGTGCTCGACTTCGCGTGCAGGTCGTCGAGCTACCGAAGCGGGGGTGCCATCCCATCTGCAGAGGATCAAAATTGTGATGGCATGTCTTCGGATCATCCTCAGGGATGTTTCCCAGACCGTCGCCAATAGCCCATTGTGCAGCTCTAGTGTGACGTAAATGAACTATAATAGAACTATAATAACTGAAATGATAATAATAAAAAATAGTGTTTTAAAAGCGTTTTTTTTTTCTAAAATTTATTTAGCACTTTGTTTTAAACATACAAATAATTTTTAACGTTTCATTTAGAAATTGAACATTACGATCGAACTTAATAATTATGTAATTATTTATGCATAATAGTACAAGAAAATATTAATTTGTAAAAAACGCTTTAAAAAAAAGTTTTTAACACTTTGTTTTACGCTTATTATGGATTTCAAAACAAACATTCCACTAAATATTTTAAGTGAGATTTGTACATTGTAGTCAATTTATTTAATATCTTTAGCAAAACATATATATCTTCAAATTAATAAATTGATTTAAATCAATCTGAGTATGAAGTTTTAATAGAAATCTGACTTTCTTTGCCTTACAAGTAAATGAAATTCAAAAATACTATATCGCGATACATCGCTATATCGCGATGCAAAACTGACGATGCATCACGATATATAGTTTCTAATATCGCCCAGTCCTAGTTGTCATAATAAAAGTGCTGTTACATTTTTTAAAAAAAAGAGAAAACAAATATTACTTAATGGAAGAAGAAAACAACAACAAAAAATCTTGTGTTTACTCCAAATCTGCTTAATGTTCATTATTCCTGTTCTTGTTTTATTTTTCTGTAAGATATTAGTGATTGTATGGCAATGAGCTTAATTTATAGTAGGAATGAGTTTTATACCTAAGAAACATAAAAAAAATCTATTTTAAACAGTCACAAACTTTGATCTAAAATTAGGATGATAGTCATGATATAATGCAAGATAAGTTTTTCAAAGTCTATTTAAATTATACAGATAGGTATTGATATACAGTGAAACCTCTGTTTCATAGTAAAATGGTCATTAATGGAGGTTGATCGTTCTTAGAGGTTACCACTATTGACTTCAAAATGTTAGCAAAGGTACATAGTTTTTCGCAGTTGATTTTAATAGTCAGTGTCATTTCCTTGATACGGAATTGCCACTTGTGTTGACGTTTTGTTCTAAACCGAACCTATGAATAAAATATAACGTCAATAGAAACGATCCCTTCTGATGTAATTATGTGTAAAAACAAGTTTACCAGTTATAAATGATAGAACTATTTTAAATAAATGAAAAATTATGTTTTTAAGTTTGCATTTAATATTATTTCATAAAAATTAGTTAACTTTAAGAGAGGAGAAGAGGTTTGTTTGTTTGAGATGCTTAGTATTTTTTGAAAATAACTTTTTTTCTAATCTAAAATTATCCAATAAAAATAATTGAGGAATCAAAAAAAATCATTTAACTCTAAAAATAAATAAATCGTCTTTACAGCAATTTGACTGCAACATGAGGTTGTAGATCTTTTCCAAAGATAATCTAATATAGAGAAAATTCTTTATCCATTTGTCAATATAAAATTTAAAATCTTATGTGATACAAAAATCTACGAAATGGGTATGTGATCAAAATGAATAACAGAAGCATTGAACAAAATTTATCAAACTAAAGAAAATTATTGTAAAACTACACCTGAAATAACAATAAGGCATAAAAAATGTATCTGATTAATAAAAGTGACATTAATTGACATCACGCATAAAATTACTTCATGTTCGTGAGACACTGTAATAATATTGTAATGATACTGTAATATATATTACTTCATTGACAAGAATTAGAGATATATTCTTTTCTCCAATTACATACACTATATAATGAGCTCCTAACTATCCAGTCCAGTAAAAAACAAGTAATAATAGAACCGGCTGTTTGTAAAATTCATCATGGGAGGTATAGGAGACTAAATGAGGAATGTGAAAATGGTCGCCTGTACATTTTGACTCTTAGTCTTTCACATGTGTAGTTTATTAATAAACATTGAGTATTTTGTGCACTTTTGTTATATTTATCTTTCTGCATGACATTTTTTTTAAAATTATACAGAGGAAGCGAAACTATCTTGCCATTTTGTTATTCGGCTGACCTTTCCACTATATTAGATAACCTGATAGCCTTGAGTCTACCCTATATTAGTCTGTTTATTAAAAAGTTCTCATTAATCAGAAATAGGGTCTTTGAATTATTCTCAAACACAAAGAAACTAAATAATTTCTGTATTTTTATATATGAATATTTTTAAAACATACTTTTCAATTGTATTTCCAAATAAAATCAGATATTATATAGAGCTTTGGATTAGCACAAATTCGTGATATTATATGTTTAATTTATAGTTATAAAAAAAAATTTTGTGATTTGTAATAAAAAAAATTAGAATGCTTAAAAAAGTTTGTTTTTTGACAATACTGATTAGATATTTACTTATCAAATTGTATAAAATATTTTCAATTATGTAATTTCTTTTAATGAAATTAGAAAAATTAAGCTTTTTTCCAAATGTAAACTTTTTTTTTCCTCATTTACAAATATTACTAACAAACAAGTGATAAGAAGAGAATATAAAAATTATTTTACTTTCAGTGTAAACCACATTATGAAAGGAAGCATATAACTGATTGTGAAAAGGAAGTTAGATAAATTTTGTTTCATTTTCTGAAAATAAATAAATGGATGATTCTACTATTTTTTTTCATATACTAAATAATTTAAATATAAACAAGAACTTTCTTTTTCCTGAAAATTTAATATTTTCTTTAAAAATGTTTTTTTTTTCGCTACACAGTGCATAAGATAAAGTATGATGTTCTAGTTTCTTTTTTAATTTGTAATTTTTTAAGCAAAATACTTTCATGACATGAAAAATAAATAATTATTTAAATCTTTATTATTAGATCATTAGTTATCAAAGATATTATTGGAAAAATATTGTAACTCCATTTTAAATTACAAAATAAAACATAACTTTTATTATATACCAATAAGAGTTTAATTGTTTAAATCTTTTTCGTTATCATACCACTCTATCTCCTATAACAACAGCTCATATTTTGTTCTTCTGGATCTTCTAACCATCATTCCATTGACCCTTTAAGTTTATAAGTAAAAGTGGGAATAATGTTAACATCAACTAATCCTGAATTCTATTTTTTTTAATGTTATATGCTCTAAATATTCACTTCTTATTCAATATACTTATCTATTTAAATAAAATTAACACTAATAATTTTTTTTATTGAATTTTAGGACATCTGCTTATCATAAAAAATAGCGGCATTTCATTTCTCACAATTTGAACAATCCTATATTTCGCATGTAGAAAAATAGAATTTTATTGCAGAAATATTGCATAAAACTATAAGAAAACACTTGAATACTTGGAAAAAAGTTTTAAGGCTAGATAAGTTTAAAGCACACTTAATTTTCTGTTAAAATAATAACACAATACATTACTTTTCTGGACTTGCATCAAAACACGAATTTGCTTTTTCTAAAAATCTTTCTCATAGTAAAATATAATGTATCTTGTTGCCATTAATCAAAGTTCATTAAGTTACCATTCTATTTATATTTTTAGTTTAACTTGTAAATATCTAGACCTGACATTGTTTTAATATCTATATTACATTGACTTGGTTAACATCATGTATGTCCATAATTAGCTCTAGATTGAAAAAAAATATTTTTAATGTCTTGATAGAAAACTTTTACAATAACTTATGTTAAGTCCTATCCCTAGACAAAATAGAAAATTTACTCTCAATTTTTTACTGGGAATTAATTTAATTTAAACTTAATTGTTGCCAGAGCTCACAGTTTAGATCTGTGTTTGTTCCCAACTTTTGACTACTGTCCATATGATATGTTCTAATTTGTTGCAATTTAGATTTATACATTTCATGGCTTGAAATTTATGAACTTGCAAAGTAATAAATGTTTGTTTGTTTTTTCTTTTCTAAAATAAGAATTGTGTGGGGCCATATTTCTTTTTACTTTATAAACTTGCTCACTTATAATTAAACTTCTTTACTTAAGAAACTCAAACCTTCTTGTAAATATATAATCACAAAAGAAACAATCTCTCTAATTATTAATCTAAGATACATCTGACTTAAAACTAAAAAATAGGTCTGTAAAGAAAAAAACATTAGTTTAAAATGAGAAAAATAAAACTTACATTTCATTATATACTTCAAATAAGCTTTGCTAAAACAGCCAATGACTAAAGCATTAAGAATTATTAACTTTTTAATAGATATTTTTTATTAAAATAATTATCAGTTTTACAATATTTTTTAACCAACAAAACTCTTTAACTTATACTAAATTTGCATAATACACATTGTTAAAAAAAAATTATTAAAAACTTTTTTACATAGGCCTTTAACAGACTACTTAAAAAAATTATCTATCATAACTCCTAGCAAGATCAGCTTGTGCTTTTCCAGTATTTTTAGGCATTTTTTTGTTGGATGAATCTTCAATGTCTTTAGCTTTGTAAAAATGAGGGGCTGCTTCTAATAACCAAATTCCTTGAATCTCAATTACTTGTCTCATAAATTCTTTAGAAGTCATTACAAGCTCATGATATAATAACCATCTAGGTAAATCTTCAAACAATGCACTATTCGGATGAATCATTACAGTTTGTTGATGTCTATGTGTTTTGTACTGTCCACTTTTTGATAATCGTGCAGTATGATAAAAATAACCTGCTGTTATAGACTTTCTAATAGCTACAGTATCATCAGGATTGGACACAAGTTCTATTTCAGCTCGGTCCATAAGTCCTTCTAACTGTTCACGGACATCTCTAGCCCTTTTCATTGATCTATGCTGAATGTAGTTTTCAAAACACCATTGAGTGCTATATTCAGATTCTACCCAAGCATTATAAACATTTAACAATGTTAAATGATCACCACCTTTACTGAAGAAATTTTTCCTCGCTGTGTCTGCATGAACTATCTTGTCCTTTGGTCTATAGAATATTGCATTGTTTACTGATAACATAGCAGCTATAGAAAGAATCTCTTCAGAACATTTATACTTTTCTGATGCCAGAAGCATTTTAGACATCATTGGATCAACCGGAAATTCAGCCATTTTTCGTCCCATCATGGTGAGCTCACCTTGATGGTTTAAACCACTTAATGCATATAATTGTTCCAGAGCCAAAACTAAACTTTCATGTGGAGGTGGATCCAAAAAGTCAAAATGCATGATATCATTGATACCAAGTGATTTGAGTAAAAGAACTGCATTTCCTAAATTAACGCGTTGTATTTCAGGAATTGTATTGTCCTCTAATTCATGTTGATATGCCCAAGCTGTGTACAACCGAAAGCATTTCCCTGCAGCAACACGGCCGGCACGCCCAGCTCTCTGATTGGCTGATGCTTTTGAGATTGGTACTACTATAAGTGACTCCATTCCAGTGCGAGCATTGAAGCTATTTTGTTTACAAAACCCTGGATCAATTACATAAATTATTCCATCGATAGTCAGAGATGTTTCTGCTATATTAGTAGCAATTACAACTTTGCGAGCTCCCGGTGGAGTAGGTTCAAATATTTTTGCTTGCATATCAGACGGCAAGTTAGCGTAAATTGGTAAAATTACCAATTCTTTCATTTTTGAACCTAATTTCCTTGTTCTTTCCAGAAGATATTCATTACAAGTTTCAATTTCATCTTGACCTGTCAAAAATACAAGAATATCACCCAGTGGTTGAGTAAAATGTATTTGTAGTACTGTTACAACACATGCCTCGATATAATCCGACTCAGGTGCTTTTGTGTAAAATATATCAACTGGAAATCTTCTACCAGGAATTCTAAAAATGGGTGCATCATCGAAGAATTGTGAAAATTTTTCAGCGTCTAACGTGGCACTAGATATTAATAATTTTAAGTCGGGTCTAAAACGGGCAATATCTTTTACAAGACCAAACAATATGTCAGTGTGCAATGTACGTTCATGTGCTTCGTCTACTATGATTACACTATAGGATGCCAAATCGGGTTCTGAAAGAAACTCTCTGAGTAACATACCATCAGTCATGTACTTAATTATAGTTCTCTCGGAGGTGCAATCTTCAAATCGAATACTATAACCTACTTCATTTCCCAACTTAACAGATAATTCCTCCGAAACTCTTGCTGCTACGCTCATTGCAGCTACACGCCTTGGTTGAGTACAACCTACTTTTTTCTTATCGTTAGTATATCCTGCTTCATGTAAATATTGTGGAATTTGAGTTGTTTTACCAGATCCAGTTTCTCCTTCAACAATAAGAATGTTGTGGTTTTCAATTGCATTCAATAAGTCTTCTCTAAAGGGAAAAATTGGAAGACTTTTTCTTGTTTCTTGTATGCTAAGTTTCTTTTTGTCCCTTTCTGACAATTCATCACTGGGAGCTGATGTATTTGTTGTACCAGCCATTTTTATAGATTGAACAAATTCAATAGCATCATCATAAACTAAATCGTACTCTTTATCTTTACGTTTTTTCTTTGCATCTCTAGCACCAAAACTCATTTGTGCGAAACCCAATCTTTCTTGTTCCCATTTTAATTGTTCGGCATTTGGTGCTCTTTCTTTTTCATCAACCTCTTCATACTTTTTAGGTGGCTCTTTTCTAGATGCTTCAGGTATATGATATCGATCAATTTTTTCTAATTGTTTTGCTTTGTCATGTTGTTTAGCAAGTTCAAGAATTTTCTTTTTATATTGAAGCTCCTTTTTCTCTTTTTCAGTTAATTTGACATCTGAAAATAAATATTCTTCATCTTGTATATCACCTTCTAATTCTATTAATTTATCTTCTTTTCTTTTGGCTAAATATTCTCTACGAGATTCTACTCTTAATTTGGGTACTATTTTCTTTTTGTCTTCAGCTTCCAAGCGTAATCTTTTTGCAGCCTCCTCAAAAGCTTTTTTGTCAGATCTCTCAACAATTTTTCGAGTTTTTTCTTTATCCTTCTTTTTCAAACGTTCAGAAAACTCATCTCTTTCTTTTAAATCCTCCAAACGCTCCCTTTCTTGTTTTTCAAAATCACTCTCTGAATCTGATTCTTGTGTCATCTTAGATTGTCTTACTTTTTGATCATCACTATCAGAACTAGATTCTTTTCTCTCCCTTAAATGTTTACGCTTTTTTCCTTTTTTAGGCTCTTTTGTTTCGTAAGTAGGCGTATAATCATCCTCATCTTCAATGAGTTTATAACTCATATTTTTCTTATAAGTCTCTACGATTTCTCTTTCTCGGACTCTAGCGGGTTTTTCTTTGATTTCAGCATGTGGTACCTTTCCCCATAACTCATTAGCAAATTTAATAACGCTAGGATTTATTGACAAAGTTCCAGTGTCTCGGATTTTATCCACCAATATTTCTGCACTAGTACTTTTAGTAGCCAAGTTCATTAAAAACTCCGCTGCATATTTATCACTAAATCCTAGAATGTTATGAAGCTCATCGCTCACCCATTCACTAACTTCACTCATTTTTAAATTAGTAATATGTTACTATTTAAATGCAGTGCCTATGTTAATATTTTGTATATAATTACAAATTAAATATGATCAAACAATAACAAATGAGAAAAGTTGCTTGTTTACATTTTCCATTTGCTACTCTTGACTCCATTTCGAGAGTGTTTAAAATATTGTACGCAAGCTTTTAGCTTACATAGAACAAAACCTGTCCACATTACTTAACTGTAACCACTAGTAACCGTTGCCATGGTGATAGTTAGATTCTGGAAAAAATAAATAAGATTTGTATATTAATGCATATGTCTGTACATAAACTCTTTTTTAAATAAAAAACTTTTTTAATTTTATCAATTGTTCAATTCATTTTTTCCCATCAAAGTTACTATTGAAAATCCAAGTGAATACTTATGAAGTTAATTAATCTAGATTAAATAACCTTTCCTTCTCTTTTAGTATAAATGTGTTTTGGAGATAACACTATATGTTAGGAAATATTAAATTTTTATTAGTAAATTTTATCAAAAGTAATACGTTTCTTTTTGTATTATTTTTCTAAGTATGACACTGACCTTTTTACTAAGTCAAATTAGAAAGAAGAAAAAAATTAAATTTCATCTTGCTGTAACAAAAATGAATTCGAATTGCATAAAATCGCTTTAGTAAATGATGTCTTCTCAGGAGAGGTAATGAATGTCATAAATTATTGGTGATTGTAGTTACAGCAATCTTCCTAGAAACTAAAAATTTATGCAATTTTTCATAAGAAAGGTGGAATATATCAGAATTAAGAAATCTATAGAAAACAATGTCTTGTGTTTTTATCATAGACTGATTATAAAATGTATTTTAACATTTAAAAATTGTGAGAAAGTATTTAACTTAATTTTAAAAATCCGCTGTTACTTAAATGAGGCTGACCGTGTTTATTTGTATCTGGTTAATAATTTTCATATTTAAAACCTTAAATGGTATATTTTTTAACTTTACATCTTTTTTTATTTTGAATGAGGACATAAAATATCTAAAGTCTGGATAATAGTTCAACTATTTCTTTACAGTCTGCAGAAGACATAGTTCAAGAGAATATTATGTATGATATTTTATGAACTTCACTTTCTGTGTGAACAGTAGTTTTAAATGTGTGACATATTTAGGAGTAAAAAAAGAAGACGTTCAAGCAAGGTTTTTTTTTATTACAAGTAGGAAATTAATTTTCTTCAAATTATCAAAACATTTAGGTAACCAGGGTTTGAGTTAATACAAGTTGATTGTAGTTTAGTTTACGTTCATTGGTAAAAGAAAGAGAAGAAAAAAAAAAATTTCTTAAAAGTCATTTTTGCTTTGAACCTTGTTAAAATTACTTTTTGTAGTCAATATCTTAGTTAATGTTAATAAAACTGTTATTTTTTCTTTTCTTTTTTTACGTTTATGTATAAAGTTTTCTTATTTTAAGAATAAATTTAAAATGCTTTAATAGTTAAAATAAATAATAGTTATCCGTTTAGACAAGTTTTGTTTAAATTGTGGGGGAAATTAAGTCTTGTGCACTTGCACATATAATTATCTGACTTAAATACTGCAGGGTCTCGTTTTACTTGCTTTTTATTTTTATTTTGTAAGATTATTTTTTCTTTTTTTTTTTAATTTTAGTTTATAATTCGATGAAATATATAAATTTCATTAATTAAATAAAATTTCAATGTTATTAGGTGTGTTTTACTTTTTCCTGTGTATATCTTACCATTTCCTTTTATCTTCTGTAGTTTTTACTAATCTCTAGTGAAAAACATGCCAAAATAGTTACTAATTTCAGAATCGTATAACAATAATTTTTATATTTTTGTTTAGAAGTTTCAAAACTTAAAAAAAAAGTTTTTTTCTTTTTCTAGAGTAAAGAAGAGAATAAACGAAAAAAGAAAAAAAAAGAACTGCTTATAGTCTTCGATTCACATGTAAGCATTAGAAATATTAGATTGCTATGATAAACTGTGTATTTTATTTATTTATTATTTTTCTATTATTTTTCTTTTACTAAGGCTTTAAAAAAATTTCGTTATATTTTCTCATAGGTAGATTCAATTATTGAAACTGCTGCCAACACCTTAATCAAGCAAGCTTATTCCATTAATTATTTAGATGATTCCGACATTAGCAGTAATGAGTGGTTTCAAAATAATGTTGATGCTCGAGAATCTGCCAAAACAGTAACTCCACTTTGTAAGTTTTGTAACTATAGCTTTTTAATATATTGTATTAATAAGTTACCACTTTTAAATTAAATTTATCATTTAACCTCTTGAATAAGTATAATATATAATTCTGAAATTTACAGATAGTAATTAATTTTTATTAGTTTTCCTGCATCAAAAAAATAAATAATAGGACAAGTTAATTTTTTATAAAACTATTTATTGATCTTCTTTTTTCCAAGATATTAAAAACTTGTGTGATCTGTAGAACTTTTTTTTTTAATTTTATACTTTATGAAAAGCAAAATTTTTTAATGTTTTTAAATGGGCATTCTTTCATTTCATGACATTTTTAATTTAAAATGTTTTGTATATCTAATTGAATTGAGCTCCTGGCTCAATAAGGTATTCTAGGTAGTATCCATTATTACACCAGGAGGCTTTTAAATAATTTCAATATTATTATGCCATGATAAATTATGCCACATATAATTTTATAAACATTTTTATTATGATCAAATACAATATCATAATGAGGATTTTGTTTCAATTTTATTTGTTTTTGAATAAACAAAAAATTATATTTTTAGAATTATAACTTTTAATAGAAACATTGAATTAAGGCTTGGAACTGAGTTTGAAAGGCAATTAAAATTTAATGACTACAGTTTTTATTTCAATTAATGTTTTCTTAACTTCTGTGTCACGTTAAAACCATATAAAAGTAAAAAGTATAAACTGTAATTATTTAGACGTTTTATATTATTATTCAATTTATTTTGAAAAACAAAGTTGTTAAAATGTGATTTTAATTCATTAAGTTGCCTTAAGAAAATTTTTAAAAATTATTTTATTATAATTTATGAATAATTTTTTCAAAAAGTGTTGTGTTTTATGTAACAAGCACTTCAGTCGAATTGAATGATAACATCTTAATTTGCAAAAATATAGTAATCATTTTCCATGTTTGTCTAGCTTTTGAAAAGCAGATAATTTCTCATGAAAACCAGTGTGATTTTTCAACATTAACATCATATCTAACAGAAGAATATATCTTACCTGCTCGATCCACATTTCATCTATCTGATGTAAAAGATCTTCATCTATTAGAAGGTTGTATTAATTTAATATATCTTGTTGTGCAAATCTACCATTAAAATAACTATTTTCATGTAAAAAATTCACTCTGACAATTTTTTTCGAAAAATATTTTTTTCTATTTTTATTTCTCATATTTTCCATTGTTACTTTTCATAAAATATAAAAGTATCACAAGCAATAACTCTTTTAAATTTAACCAAAATATATAAATTGGTTAACTTTGAGATATACACTATCATTAAAAATCTTTAATCAAACTCAAAATTATAAATTGCTGATTTGAATTGTAGTGAAATAATGTATAATTCTGTTACTAAACTTGCTCAGTATATTTATTAACAAAAACCAAAGTCAGCATTTTGAAATTTACTTTAAATCAAACACAATTTTCATAATACTCAAATATTGAATAAATAGTATTTTTCATGTTCAACACTTTTTGTACGATGTAAATATTTGCTGAATTTCTTTATTTATAATAATAACATTAAAATAAAATACAGTTTTAACTGAAGAGATCTTTCATATTTAATTACTGGATTCTAATCGTAATTTTATTTGTATACTATCAATATTGACATTTGTTTTTTTGTAGAATCTGTTCTGTAAAATAATTTATATATATGTAGTGCTCTTCTAAATAATTTATATATATTGTTACTCTTCTAACTAATGTATTGAAATTTTGTTTCTAAACATGTATTCATTATATAATATGTTCTAAACATATTCTAAAAATTTATTCGATATATTTGCATACATATATGCATACAAACACACCTGGTTTGTAGAATATTTCTTCTTCTTGGCACTCTAGCCCTAAACAGGGCCATCCCAACAAGTTTCGTTCAATAGAGTCTGACAGATACCTGTTTTTTCCAATTAGTTACTTTAAGTGCGTTCCAATCTTTTTTATTGTCATCAAGCAATCCAAGTAGAAGTTTTTCCCACTTTTTAGTGTGACCTGGCTTGTAGAAATTTATGGTCTGAACAAAAGAAGTAACCAGATACCTTATTTGATTTAATTTTGATGAATTTTACTATGTCTGGTTGCTTATATCGATTATAAATTTCATGATTGTAGAGAATTTGCCAGGCATTTTATTTTTTGATTTGTGAAACGGGCTTATAGGCACTATAGAAAACAAACCAATATTTATACATTTATATATTTTTTTTAAAAAAACAAATAATAGTTATGTTAATGTTCGACTTTCCATATTAATTGTGAAATAAAGTCTTGAAATAAAAGTGCATATATTGCAAAGGTTAATCTGTAGTTGTATTACACATGTCTTGATATTACTATTTGTATTATGAGGAGTAAAAACATTTAATTTCTTTAAACAAGTGTCCAGTCATTTACTGATAACAATCTTTTGTTTACTATATTTTTTATATCTAAAGAGATAAAAATGGTTTAATCATATAAGCTAAATGTTTTTCTTAAATATCTGTTCTTCTGGATCATTCAAGTAAAATTCTGTTTTATTTCATTATTAAATTTTTAAAAAGAAATTAAATATTTGATTTGAAGAGCTGCTTTTTAAATTCAGAACACGTGATTGCTTAGAACAGCACTTTATTTTCATTGCTTATAAATAAATATTTGTTATTACTTAATTTGTAATTCATTGCTTATAGATAAAATAATAAGAAAAGCATATACTTTTGCATTTCCTGCAAGCACAGAGGCATGTACTCAAGCTGTAAAAGTTATGTTTTATTAATTGCAAAAAAGCATTGATTTTTCTTTTGTTATTAATGAAATTGTATTATTTTCTTTTTTTAGACAAATTTGATCTTATTCTTTTGGATCCACCATGGAGAAACAAATCTGTTAATAGAAAGAAAGGGTAATATGTTTTTTTTCTTTATTTATTTGATTACTAGTTGCTCTGTATGCCTTTGACTATTAGTTCAAAACATATTCCTAAAATAGTTTGAAGAAAACTTTTTATTTTATTAGAATTTTATTAACTTTTTCTCAAAAGTATATGATTAATTAAAAAAGTCATATGAATAATTTCAATATTCTAAGTAAATGTTCAGAAGTTCTAATTCAGTTTTGGAAATGGAACTAGACTCAAAATCTAAGTTGAAACATTGAACTATAATTAGATGTGTTATCTATTATAATTTTTATAAACTTTTTGAATGAAAAATGTTTAGTAATAGCATATATGCAGGGTGTTACTAAACTTATGGAGGAAAATTTTAGGGGTGATAGAAAACATCTTAACGAGTACAATTTTTACCATACAATGCTTTCATGGAGAGCAAGCAATGAACCATTAGAAGGTATCTTTTACTGTCACATGAAAGAACAAAACACCAAATGGATAGAGGAAATACTAAATTAATTTAACATTAATTAAATAACATGTGCTGCGTTACAAGTGTAACAACTGCATTGCCACTCTTTTGAGCAGTTTCTGTAATTTTGCCACACATGCTGTCAATAAAATTAATTAAATACCTCCTCTATCCGTTTGGTGTTTCTTTGTTTCATGTGACAGTTACTGATATCTTTTCATGGTTTATTACTTGCTCTATGGCTTATGCATTGTGTGGTTAAATTACTTGTTTGGATCTGTTTTATCCGCTTAAATTTTTACCCATGAGTTTCAAAATACCCTGTAGAGCAATTGGCTATATGACTAATAGAAGTAATTGCATACATGGAAAAAAATCTTTCTATTTATTCAAAAAGTAACGCATATAAAAGTACTTCACAGATTAGTTTATCTCCTCCATTTTTCATTGAACTTTAAGCTACTTTCATTAATTGGCTTATACAAGTTTTATAAATAAAAACAGTTCAAGAGAATACTCTAACATTTACTTAGGTTAGCTGGGAGATGAGCTAAAACACACAATCAGCTTCACGCCTAGAATTATCTAGCTGTAAAAGAACTAAATATTTTTTAATCCACTCTTATAACATTTTGTTTATTACAATAAACTTTTTGGGAAAAATACTTATTCGGAGAAAGTTTTATTTATATAGTTGCTACACTGGAAGAAAAAATATTGAACATCAATAATCTCAAAATTCTGTTGTAGATGCCAAAATCTGATGAATGTTAACATTCTCTAGTAAATATTAAAACCCTTTGACGAATGTGGATGGTCGCAAAGTTGCTTCATATAGTGTACAAAATATTTGTTAAATGTTATTATTATGTCAACAACTGTATATATTAATCATGAAAGAATTCATGATGAATCTTGAGAAGAAAGGTTTTATCATTATTTCTCACTAGCTACTATATTACTTTATGGATGCCGAATATTAATATTTTCCAAATTGAATGAGAAATAATAATATTTAACGAATAAATTCATAATTAGTCCAAGCCACTAAATGAATCAAGTATTGAAAGCTATTGAATTGGTTAAAACTCTATTTGGAACTGTTTACAAATTTTAATGCTAAATACCAACATAAAGTTTTTCCTTTTATAAATTTTTTTTTCTTTCTGTAAACAAGAGAATACTTACAAGAGAATGCAATAAATACCAGAATTAAAATAAAATAACTGTTTAAATTTCCAGCGAAAGAAAATTTACAGGTTTATGTAATTAAATGATTCCGTGATTGAGAACATTTTTATGCAATATTATTTCTAAAAGTTTTTTTTTTCTCATTTTTGTCTTTACTATTATCATGAATGTAATACTATGAAAAAATTACATCCATATCTATATTGGGAAAAAATTATATTGTATTAACATCTCCCTGATAAAAATATTTTTTTTAAAGTTTTTTAATGAAAGGATGCTGAAATATTGATTTTTTTTTTGGCAAAATGTTTAAGTAACTTCAACAATGGAAAGCAATTAATTGACAGTGATTAAATGTTGTATATATTTTAGCATGCTTAAAATATATGGGAGGAAAGAACAATTGGAACCTCTTGCAACAATTACTATTTGAAAAATCTTCCATTATGTCTCTTTACAACTAAATATCTCTTTACATAAATGGCCTAAAACTGTCTCCTCTGCCTCTACCCTCAGTACCAGATATTCACCGCTACTTAGTTTGTAATGTGGGATGCCCATCTTCCGTTGGTCTCTAAATTATTTTGTGTCTTTCTTGGTGTTGCTAGGCAGCTGATTATGCAATATATTTTGAAAGCTTCATTGGTTTAGCTTTGTCTTCTAAAAAATGAAGATTCTTTACTATGCTAATAAATAATAGATATCTTTCCTGTGAGTCATTAAATATAACTTTCTCTTTTACTCCAGGTTGAACTTTGGGTTAGCAAAAAAGTTAAAATTATAAAAATTTAAAAGTAAAATATAAAAAGTTAGAAGCTTTATATGTGCTAAAGTTAAGTACTTATATATTTTAAGTAATTACATTTTATTGAATGAAATATTTGATTGCTTACATGCTCCACGAAAAAGCGTTGTCCTTTTTTTTCAACTTTAAAATTTATTTTGTAAGGTAGTTTTATTGAGCACTTTTCTTTGCGACTTGCTTAACTTCATACCAGCTCTAAAAGTAGAATCACCAAAAAATTACAGTAGTACTTATCAGTCCAAAACTCATTTAATGCCTGATAAATGAGGGATCTCAAACCTTATTTTTTATTTATATTTTCCCCAAAAAATTTATTTATTCATTTGAACAAACTCTTCTTGAAATCACAAATATATCGTAATAAACCATTTAGCACATTCAATAACATCCTCATAATCAATTCAGAGTTTGACTCACTGTAGTATAGTCTCTTACCTAATACTTTTGCTGTCACACTTTAAAAAGTAGACTAATTTTTTGTGTTAGTGCTTCAAAGTATTACTTTCAACCTTACCTTCCAATACAAAAATGTATATTTTAGTAAGCTGTACCATGACTCAGAGTTGATCCAAAGACCATAAATTCACCTTGCACTAATTAAGTTCTTTTCATATTTTTTTAATATTGTTTAATAGTTTGTTCACAATACTGAATTAACTCATGTCAATATGTTTTAGGTATTATACAATGTATTTGGATTCATTATTAGACCTACCAATTAAAAAATTATGCAATCCCGGTTGTCTAATCATTGTCTGGGTTACTAACAAAAAGAAACAAATCTCCTTTGTTGAGAAAGAGTTATTTCAGAAATGGAATGTTACATCATCTGTCATCTGGCATTGGGTTAAAGTAAGATAGCATTTATTTTGTCTAACACAAATAATTTATCCTGTAATAAAATTCCAACTTATGCTTTAATTTCTCTGAAAAAAATAGGTAACTAAAAAAGGACACTATGTTTTCCCAATTGATTCTCAGCAAAAGAAACCTTATGAAAATCTACTACTTGGATATGTTAGTTCAGGAGAAGAAAAAGATAAAGCTCATTCAAAAAACTTAGAAGCTCACAAAACTATTGTTAGTGTGCCCAGTAGCATACATTCTCATAAGCCACCTTTAACTGGTAAGTATTAGTTACAATAATGATTTTTTTAGTTTGAAAAAAATGAAAATAACTAAACGGTTTTTGTGATTCAGCTGTTTTTTTTATCATACAAATAAATATTTATGCGTTCAAATGTATTATTAAAACAGAACTAATAATACTGAATTTTTGTGTTAGGAGAGCGCTTTATAATGAATAAATAATTTTATTTGTTAAAATGAATCGAAAATAGACATAGGTAGTTTTCAACTGGCTTTTGTTACTTCTCATAGGAGCACTAACATATTCAAGACGTTTGGTTTTAGTTTAATAGTTTTATTGCGATCTGATAATGTATCATTCAGAGTCTAGTCTTAATTTAGGCTACTCAGAGTCTAGTTTATATTTGTATCTTAAATAATTGCTTTCCTAATTATTTTCTTTTGAAAAAACTATCAATTTTTTTCTGGTATATTCCGGTATAGAAGCAGTGGGGTTTGTTTATGTCCCCAAATGTTATAAATATATTCATTTAAAAGCTATAATTACTTAAAAAAGTTATAAATTTAAATTTTAATGAAAAACTATTTATACAAAGTTATATATTTGCAATTATGTTTTTATTGTTACAATTATACTTTTATTAAGGCTTTTTCATACTCTTTCATGACAATTTTCAGAAATTCTTCAACCTTATCTCCCGGAAAATCCTCGCTGCCTTGAAATATTTGCTCGTTATCTCTTGCCTAAATGGACAAGTATTGGAAATGAGGTACTTTTTAAATTAAACTTTTGTTTGAAATTTTTTTTAGCATTTTTCAATTGGTTTCAGTTAAATTAACTTTAAATAAACATTTTGACCATAAAGATAACTCAAACAGCTCTATCAAAGATAATTTAATGAATTTTATTAAAGATATAATATCAAGCATATTTGAATGCTTCACTTGTCTAATCGATTAACTTCATAACATAAACATTTCATTGCATTTCTCTTTTGTGTGATAAAAATGTAAACTTCTATACAATTAAAGTTTTAAAGATTTTTTTCAACTAAGCAGTTAGCCTGACAAAAGCCTTATTTATAATGTGGTGTATTTATTCTAGCACTTAACTCTTTCATCACGACAGAGGAAATAACTAGTCTTCCTGGAATATTCGCTATGCTCTTTTGTTGTATTAGTGAATACGGTTATTTATTGCAATTGATTATTATTTAAGTAAAATAAACAAGTTTTAAAGGTATTTGTGTTTTGTTTCTATTTAAGTGCTGCGAGGAAACTCTAACCGCAGAGGGTGGGACAAAGGCGCATCATTGCCGTGATGAAAGTGTTAAGCAAAACATTAATTCTCTTTTCTAAACCTAAAATCTAAGGCCCAGTTTTACTCCATAGTAAAGTAATATGTTATCAAAATTCTTGGGAAAATCAATATTTGTGTTTCTTTTAATAGGGTAACCACAAAACAGGGAGAATAGGAGAAAGTTAGGGAAATTTTATCAATGGGAAATTTAATTTAAGTACCCAAAATGTGAAGGGGAATAAATTAATTTTAGTTTGAGATAGCTAATAGTCCAATATTTTTTCCATATAATTTGGTCTAGAAATAGTTGTTTTATTGTGTTTGGCATGTATAATGTATTTCTTTAATATATTTCATGTATTAGAACTAGGCACAATTTCATGTATTAGAATAAGGCACAACAAGATTAATTAAAAAGCAAATGAGATTATCCCTAAGATTGGGCGTCCAAAGATTATCTTTTCAATATTATATAAATAACGTGAATTTCCTTTTTTGTCCCTATTAATTGGTCTTTTTCATTATAAATAGGCTTGTAGTAGCTTTTAATTTACTATATATACTAATATTAAAAAAGGTTAACACAGTGTAGATAGTTACTTCTAATAAAGCTACAGTAATTTTTCTGAAATGTCTTCTTTCAACATCATTGTAAAAGATCATGTTTTGTACATTGATTTTTTTTCTCTCCTAGGTAATCAAGTTGCAGAATACTAAACTATTTGACAGAATTCTTGTTGACTGATTTTGTGTGTGCATATTATTATGTTTATTTAACAAATTGTACAGAGTAATAAAAACTTTTTATTCAAACTGTAATGAATTAATTATAAAATAATTCGTATTTATTTCATTTGATTTCGAGTGCTCATAGATATTACTAGCCAATTAACAAAAATGTTTTACCAACTAGTTATATTCTTGCTCAAAAATTGAATTAATCTTAAAAAATTTGCTAGATTCATTTCTGTGTGCATATTTTTCTTTTATTTAACAATTTGTACTAAGTAATAAAAACTTATTATTCAAATTGTAAAGAATTACTTACAAAACAAATTTTATTTATTTAATTTGATTTCAAATATTCATAAATCTTGAAAAAAATATTTTACCAGCTAGTTCAAAAATTTAATGAATCTAAATAATTTGCTATATTCATATAACTAACGTTTTAAGTTATGGAGCATTTTTAAAATTCTTAAATTTTTTGCCACGTTTATTTTTTATCAACCTAATTTTATATAATCATGTAATCCATCTATGATTTTGTGTAAAAGTAACTAGTTAGCTTCATCTCAGAATTTTTTCAAGGATGCATTTTTTTTAATAATGTAAGACACATAATAAATTATATATCATACGGATTTCTTTTTTAACCCAATTTATTTTTCAGCAAGTTTTTTTCCATCAATTTACTTTACCCTTTGTTTATGGCACTTAGTATGATGAAGCCTCTCATCATTAGTACCTCTCTGATCCATTTGTTGCAGCAGGTGTAAGCGAAAGTTTAATAAACTCATATGTTAAATTCATAACTAATTCTTTATCATGTGGATTCGTTTTTAAGCGATTTTAATTTTGTAGACCCATTTTTTCTCACTCAAATTACTTCAATAAAGTTTTGACATCTTTTTTTTCTATCTAAATGTATATTAAATACATTTATTTTGATACAATCTTTGTTTTTAAAACTAATGTTTCTGAATGTGACTGAGATTTTTCCATGGTTACTATCGAACTTCAATACTTTCATTAAATTTTCGGCAACTGTTTCTTTGCTCTCTGTAACATTTCGTAATTGACATAAAAAGTCCCCAGTAAACTGATTGTAAGACACGGTATGCAGTAGATCACCTAAGTCAAACATCATTCGCCATGGTCAGTGATTGGGTGGATGACCACTTAGATCAGCCTGCGAAGAGACCAGTTGTGCAGTATCGGTACTCATTATGCTGATTTACCATAAAGTGCTCAATAGGTTGAGGGGCCTCCCACTCCTAAGGGAGGTGCCATCCCCTCTGCAGAGGATCAAAATTTCAATGTTATGTCATCAGATCATCCTCAGGGATGTTTCCCAGACCATTGCCAATAGCCCATTGTGCAGCTCTACTGCAATGTAAATAAAGTACTCTCCTACTGCTACAAAAAAAATGCATTATCAAAAAATATTATATTTATTTTTAAAATCTATACAAACTTAAACACGTTTAAAATAACACATTCACTTTAATGTTAAGTGTCTTTCCACAAATCCATTACATCAGAATTATTTGTTTTTTCAATAATCCTTCTTTGCAGTTTTTGTTCTTGAGAAGGTTTTAGTTTTGTGTCCCATTCCATCAAACTGCTTCTTCTCATTAAATCACGTACATTTATCATGGGCATTTTTGGTTGCCCATAATGGGAGTCTACAGCACTCTCAGCCCATGAGGCCAACCCTGGGGGAAGCTTTGTGGCTGAAAATGCTTGCGGTGTAATTTGGAGAGCTTCCTTCCACACTGAAAATGTATCTTGTTTCATAAAATCATAATTACTGTAATGTAGAATTTTATCTAATACTTTTGTGTTTTCTCTCAATAACTTACTGTACTTTTCACCAAGGAAGTCTGCTATTTGTAAGATTGCACCTCTTGTATCATCTCGCAGCTGTTCGTAAGTAATAAAAAATATATTATCGTCGTATCTGTGTTCGTAAAACGAGAGTAAATGATCAAAATAATCATTATAGTCTGTTTCACCTCGTATGAATATTTTAAAAAAATCATCAAAAGAGCCTTTAGAGAAGCCGTAAGAGGGAAACATTTTCGTATGATGGTACATTGAAATGCAACAATCCTTTGGATGTCTCGCCACATAAATATATTTGGCATGCTTGGCGTATGGTATCATGTCAAATGGTAAGTGAGAGCGTATAGGGGATGGCCTGGGCATTTTTTCCACTACTTCTGCTCCTAGCATTTCAAGATAAGGGGTGCATGCAAAATATTCTTCAGTAGTTTCAGGTAATTCTCCTTCGTGGAGAAGTAGAAGTGCTATTTGCATCATCCATGTTGTTCCACATTTGGGGTAGGTGACAACAAAGACATCATATGGGCGGGGTTGATAAGTTAATGCAGATCGGACAGTATCTGGATGAAAACCTTCTACAAATCGAAGCCCTTCGACAGTCACGTAACGGGGAGTGGGATTAGATGACATGGTTGGAAATTTCAAATTTATTTGTTCGCCTGTATATAAGAAGAAAAAATAATTTTAAAAATTATGTACTTGTATTACAAAAAACATTTTAATTTTAAAATCAGAACGACAGACTTGATAAAATTAAATCTTTTAAAAATTCACAGTGTTGCTAAGTATGTTACGATTTATCCCTAATTATTATGATTTTGTAATCAAGATTAGAGTGTTATGGTTATTTAATAAAAATTAAAGTTTTTGAGAATTTTCACAATAATTTATTAAAAATTAGTTCTTTTTTTATCCCTTTTATTGCCAAGTAATAGGAAATTTTGTTGTTTTCACTGAATATTCGAAAAACACTTAAGTGTTACTTTTTTCTATTTAATAGTAAATTCATGCATGATGTTATTAGTACAGTACAAAACCCGTTATCCGGAAATCGGAAAACCAAAAAACCGGAACGAAATTCGATAAATTTTCCCGCGATTTTTTTTAAAAAGATGTTTGTTTCTTCATAAGATTTTAGGATTTTTCTTTCTTTTTTGAAAGATGTTTACCTTACCATCAGTTTAGAAATAATCATTAGTGTATTACTTCATCGTTTTTTCTTCTTTTTAAGATAATTTCCAAATATATATATTTTTTTTTAGTTGGGTTTAACGATAAAAAAACGGCTTTNTTTCTTTTTTGAAAGATGTTTACCTTACCATCAGTTTAGAAATAATCATTAGTGTATTACTTCATCGTCTCTTCTTTTTAAGATAACTTCCAAACATATATATATTTTTTTAGTTGGGTTTAACGATAAAAAAACGGCTTTTTGTAGCGATTCAGAAAACCGGAAAAATCAGTTATCCGGAATAGCGATGGTCCCGATCGTTCCGGATAATCGGTTCCCTACTGTATTTGGTATGTACCTATATAGAATAGTGCAGTAAAAACACCTTAAAATTGTGCTAGTTTGAATTTTGTTAGCATTATTTATGTATTATTGTACTTCTGATTACTGATAGCTTTTTAGAAAGTTTGCACCTCTAAATTCCCCTATCCTTGGTATATTCTTAATTGTAATAATAAATATGCTTACATATTTAGTTATTTTGAAACGAGGATTTGAAACTAACTAATTAAATTATTTCTTTTATTGTCCTAAAATATAGTTTTATTTTTAAAAAACAGTTTTTACTCTGAATTATTTTTATAAATGTATATCTTTAACCACTAGTATAAACTAACAATTATAGCCCATAATGTTTGCAGATCAAATATATATGCATTGTGAGTTGAGGTTAGGGCGTAACAAAAGTAAATAAATGTATTTAAAGTGAGAACATGGTTTATTTTAATCTCTTATCACATAAAGAAATTTATGCAGCACAAACAGTTTTTACTAGTGTAAAATTATGATAACAGAAGAAATTAATATCTAGAAAAAAAATTCTAGAATTGTTTTGTCTAAAACACAACAATAATAAGGCCAATTTTTATCTAAACTGTTACCTTTAACCATTTGGCCTTCTTGAAAAAATTCTTAATGTCAAACAGTAATCCAGCTTTGAATGTGCTGAAAAGAAAAGGAAATAGTTATGCATAATTTTTTATTTCGTTTTTTTGTTAAAATGTGCTACACAGAATTTAACTAATATGTCAGTGCCTCGATATGCCGAACTAAGTTCTACCGAGTTTCAAACTGATTCACTAAAAATTATTGCAATACCTATTCTAATTTCAGAGCATAAAATAATTTGTCCAATCTTTGGTTAATCTTAATTTTTTCTTACGATAGCTTGCTTTTACATATTGTTATAACAGTACAATTTTTAGTTTTTTAATTCGAAACTTTACTCAACTTACGTTATCACAATTAAGCATCTGCGTAAGAAAACTTCATTTAAATAGCGAAATAATCTGATTAATAGAGAATGACAATGCACATGATTCTGTGATGATGGTTATAGAGATGTGAAAGGAAATTTGGTATTTATGCTTCTCAACTAAGCTTTTTGACTGAGTTGGAAACCTATAGGTCCATCTCCAAGTATAATCATATGTTTCAACTTGAAAGTCGTGCTTGACTTTTATCGTATCTCTATTTTTAACACATTATAATCTCTTTAATATATAAACGCAAGCAGTTCCGAAATCACTGCTTTTAATATATGTGTTTTTAAATTCCTTGAGTAAGATTAAATTAAAAATATACGCACATGAGGAATTGGTAATTGATGTTTGAGCAGTGAAAAAACACCATCGAAATATTACGAATCACCACTGAGCAAGGCAATTTGAAAAACCTCAAAACCTGTTCGATTGTCCAGAGGAGCGGAAAGGTGATTATTAGGAACAACTTCAAGTGCGCACGGCAGTCAATCAAGCGTAGAAATTCATCCGTCTTTCCAATAAGGATTCGTCAGTTTTTGACAGTGTTTTTCTCTTTTTATCCTTTAAATTTTAAAAATCAACTATAATATATCTATGCAGCTTAGAGATTACGAGTTACTTTAAATATTAACTAGTGATTCCTAATGTGTAAATTTTTTTTAAATCTTAATTGTTGACGAAGATTCTATAAATATATATTAAAAATAGTGATTATAGAACACCCTATGTAATCTACGTTTATACACAGGTTACATTAAAAATTTTGCTTTTGCTGGGTAGAAAATAGTTTAACATTTCATCACCTAGAATTGCTTTTGGGAACACGGTTCTAATAGATTCCTTCTTTTGGACAAATGTTTTTTTTTCTGTTTTTGTTTTCAATTAAGACTGCTTTTCTAAAAATTATATCATAAAAGGATCTTTCAAAACTATTTAAATATTACACCTATTGTTATTCCATTGTTTTAATCTTGCATTTCACCAAATCTCTAAGATAAATTCAGATAAACGAATTATAATGAACTAAACTTTCTTAGGAAAATATGCTTTGTCACTTTTGCCAACTGCAGTTTAATAGAATAACCATAACTAGCACTCTTTTAATAAAAAATTAGTTAAAAGACCCAGACATTTATTATTTTATTTCCACGTCTCTATTGTAAATATTACTGCTTGGGTAAAAATAGAAAATTCAATATTTTGGCTATAATGTTTTTTTAATATTTTAAGTTTATTTTTACCCGAATTATTTATTTTCACTTTCTTGGCTAAATGATTGTATCAGCATCATTAGAAGAACAGACTTCAAAGAAAATTTTTAAATATTCACACACATACTTTTTATTTAACTTTTGAGGTCTTTTTTTTTTCTATTAAAATAAATGGAACAGAAATACTGCTGTGCAATAGAAAAATCAACATAAGCGCAAAAAAAATAAAAAATAAATTCAAAATTGAGTTGTTTTTTTTTATACATTTTCCATTTTTGTATAATAAACTGCACATCGCAAAAATAAATAAATCGGAAATAAATTTTGTTTTATCCTTTTTCTGAAATTTCGCTTCAGCGTTCGTAGTATATTAGCAATAGAAGGAAAATAGTTGTCAAGGCACTTTTCTCGAAATTTATTGTGCAATTGTACAGCACAATAGTAATAATAATAACATAAAAAATCTCAAAGAATTTTTTACTTTGAAAAATAACGTAAAAGCAAAAACAATCTGACTTGTTGCTCTCAAACTTAATTATTCTGATATCCACTAATTCGTGTTGGCAATTTAATATCAGAGCTCTAATCAATGATTGATGTGAAACAGGCATATGGCACCTTGCCATATCATTTGTTTGCAAGAATATCTTAAACCAAAATAATTATACCATTTGTATTTTCTTTTCTAGAATTGACAAAGTGATTTGATCCAGAATCAGATTAAACGATATTGAAAAAAGAGGAAGAAGGAGAATTAGTTTAAAATTGGAATTTACGAAACTATTATATGAAAAGCATTTCAAGAAAGAAAAAAGACATTTCTTCTTATTTCATTGACAATTAAACTACTACTTATATTTTCTCATTAGACTTGAAATTATTCAAAAGAACACAAAATTTATTGCATCAAAAGCTGTGCTATTTTAGTCTTTAAAGATTAAACATTTATTTTTTAATTTTGTTTCTTATAATTAATTGACCATAATTGCTTGTTTAATTTTTTTTTTTTTTAAATAAAGATATTTTTGTGAATGCAAAGGATTTTCTTCAATATTCAATTGACTGTTACTTAGCATGTCCCCCCAAAAAACTGAAAATACACTGAAGCTAAATGGCGATATACAAGGGCTATTGTGGAACAAAAGGATTTATAGAAGCTCAGAAAAGAATTTATTGTGGAACAAACAAACTCGAAAATAGAACTACTTACCTTCGTTCACATAAAGAAGGTTCATCCAAAGTAAACAAAAACTGTGAACTAAGCAAATATTTTTCACACGATTACTTTTCAACTACAATGAGTTCACTTTTGTCAAACAGCATAGAATGCCGTACATGTATAGTAGTTCCCCGAAATACAATTCTCTGTGATTTGGATAAAATACTGCAGACAATTAATGAAATTTTAAAAAAATTAACTAATTTTCTTTTCAATTAAATATTAATACATAAATTGTATAACTGAACTCTGTTTCGGATAAAATAACGACGACTCTTTGTTTTTGTGAGGGAAAAAATTGATAGCTCGTTGTTTTTGCAAGAAAAATAAAAATTCTTATTAATTAGTACAACATGGCATAAATTTTATAATAGTTTGCATAAATTTAATAATATACACTTGTTATATCCAGCTACATGTTTTATTCGTTTCAAGAATTCTTAATTGAGATATGGAAATAAAAGCTGTAAATGTAAATTCCACTGGAATCATAATGCATTTCAATTAAAACAGTGAAAATAGGGCGATATTCCTAATTCAAGAATTCATAATTAAATGCTTAAAAAATAAAAGTTAATCTAATTTAGTTTTATGGGTTGCGAAACTGGTGAATGCTTAAATTATTGAAATTTATCAACGGAAGATACTACAAAGCGCGGGCGAGAAAATTTCATGACAGCCTGGATATTTTTATAGTTTCCGTGTTATAGGTTAAATTCTTTTTTTTTTTATCAAATTTTTTTTAATTTATTAAATATTTAAATAAATTTTCGAGTTTTTTCTTGTAAATATGATCATTTAAAAATATATATATATGTTATACGCGTAACGAAAACTACATCAATGCCAACCATGAAGTTCTGCTTGCTTCCGTCACCAGTCCCTATGATTTTTTCGCAATCTTTTTTTGTTTTTTGACAATAGACAGATTAAAAATTATTCAATTAATCTTAAATTTTTTTTTATAGTATTAAAACAAATGTTGTCTCACAGATTTAGCTTCAGATTCTACTAAAGTAAAATTTAAACCTTATCATTTTTAAGAGCATCCACCAACTTTTTTTTTCTTCTTTTGTAATTCTATTACTGGTTTTAGTCATTTTAAAAACTAGTAAAATATTTTTCGCATCGAGATTATTGAGCAATAGCGGAAACGTTAATTCGTAATAATGCTTTGGAATTTTACAAACTCATTTTATATTCCTTGTTTTTATTACTTTCGTAGGCTGAATGCACTTTTACATAAAAATAAATATAACTAATTTTAAAATAAATATGACATATTATTAGATTGTGAAACTGTTACTAAATTTCTTTATCATTATTTGTAGCATAATAATGCTATATCAGTTAAATATAATAAAGAAACGCACTTTTTGTTTCAAATAATTTATTTCGTATTATAATCAAAATAAAAAACGAAATTATATTGAAAACAAATATTATAAGTAAAAGCCACTAAATAAGAGTTAAGTAAATAGTTAAAAAAAAAAAGGTAAATATAATTTTTATTGATTTTATTCAGATGTCAACTAAAAAAATGTTTGGATTATTTGTTTAATATTCATATCGTGATTTTTGTGTCCAGTGAAAATGCACGGAACTGTAAGGATGACAAGTATATTTTTATTAGGAATCTTTTCATGCATTCTAAGAGATTTTTCACAACCTCAATCACATACACGCGCCGCTTTTAGTTTCACACATTTTATTTATTTAAATATTTTTAATTTAGTTCAAAACATTTAGAGCAATATGAAAACTAAAGATATATGTTTTTACTTATTTCAATCAATAAATTCGCCTAGAAAAAAGCAGCTTTTTTCAGAAAATTACAGTCGTGTTCAAAATAATATAAATTATAAGCTTTTCAATTTAATGGAGAGACAGTAAAACCTTATATCTTTTATTAAAAATAGTTTTCAATATTATATGAAATCTTATAGAGTGTAAAATAACGTATAAAATGATTTTCCTAAATTAGACGCAAATCAATTCATATTATTTCAAATTAAAACCAAACTTAATTTGGATAATTAGTACATTTTTTAGAATAAATGAATATTTAATTTATAAAAATGTATACCCATAATTTTTTTAAAAACTATCATTATTTTTTTCATAATATTTGCAAACAAATATGATGTAAAAAAATTCAGTTTCAAATATGCATTAGGAGATAAATATAAGCTTACTTATCATAAAATAATTTGTAGATTAATAATCCTAAATAATTTCCTAAATTACATTCCATTTTATTAATATTATTACAATTAAAAAAAAAACTCAAATAGTAAATAGTCAAATAAAATTAATGAATCCATTTTGATTTTGTAAAAATGCACATCCATAAATTGTTTTAAAATTTCTCATACGTAATGCAAACAATAAAATATGAAGAAAAAAACTTTTTTTTTTCAGTTTCAAATATGCATTCTGTTACGCGTGAAACAATTTTTGATTACAACATCAAGTCTGTAATCAAATTCTTTTCAGTCATTTAGCAGTTTTACACTGTCAAATGGTTTTTAATCTGATGCCTCTTTAGATTCATTGATTATGATTAGTGTTTTTGGCAATGTCAATGTTGATAAATCGTTGGCAAAGAATTCTCACTGGCCGTTAAAAAAAGAAAAAACTCTGGTGGTATTAGTGGTGGCGGTTTTAGTAAGTTAGCAACAGTAACAATTTATTTTTTAAGATGCAATTTTAACATTTAGATGCTTGTTGAGACAGAATATTATAATACCTTTGAAAAATAACTAATAGTGGTGGTTATAAATTATAAAGATTTATCTTATTCACGTTGGCATTTTCTTTTTAATTTTTAAGATTATCGAAAGCCCTATGACAACTAAAAAGTTTTTCATGGCATAAAAAATTATTTTACAAATTAAATATCTATCTTACAGTGTCATAAATACTAGATTTTATAAATGTTATGAAAATATAAATTATGCAAATTAAATATAAGTGTTATACAGTGGTACAGGTTTGATTATACAGATTACATATTTGTCTTTTTACAACCATAGAATAATCCTCGATTAAACCTTTAATATCATATACATTCTCTATAACTACCTTTATTAATATTAAAAAATTGGTAACCCCATCGTTCGAAACCATTAAATAGATCAGAATTCCGTGGTTCTGTTGTTATAAAACTATCAAAATCATTCTTGCTACCATCAATTAAGGAATTCATATGGTTTCCCTCTGAGAATTACTACGATAAATAAAATTGTAGTTGTTCTGATACATTTATTTATCCAAAAGCCCCAGCTCCATGATAGAAGACCTAGAGCTGCTGCTTTAAAAGTAGTTTTTTCTCCTTTGTCATTACGTACTCATTGCCAAAATTCCTCCACTTCTGTGCCTAGCATTTTTTCTTCCTTCTAAACTTAAATCAAAAAAGAGAAACATGTTTTTTTCCTATTGTTAACTGTTATTAAGAGTGCAACACTTAATTGTTGATGACCTAAAAATTCTTTTAAAAAATATCCTTAAAAAGTGCAGCCTCTGAAAACCATTAAAATGACCTTAACCGGTTAGCGCCCTGCGTCGTGTTTATGGGAGTTTTTTCGGAAACATTTATTGTGGTAGGACTATTGTTTCAAAATTATAATTTCTATAGGAGAATTAAAAAATTCTCACCCACTATAATTTATCTTTGATTTCGATACCCATTACTAGAATTAGTAAAAAATAAAATTAAATCGAAATGAAATGGTAGCAATAGAAGAAAATATCTACATATTTTGAATGTAAACGTCATACCATTTTTTTTATAAAGCTACTTTTTAGATTACTTTAGTATAAAAAGCGGTGATAAAACTGAAAATAATGGCTTAAAAAAATAAATTTTATATGAACCTTTTTTTAAAAAAAAATATTAATCGTAACTTGTATTTATAAATTTAATAAAAAGTATGGTAATAATTAAAATAGATAAGTAATTTATAAATAGAATGAAATATAGATAGAATAAGATATAAATAAATAAAAATTAAAATAATATGAATAAATAGAATTAAAATGTGTATAAAAAATAGGCCAGGGTTGAAGAGAATCCACGAGAAGGCCAAGGCCCTGTACTGTCGTGCCATTAGGATGATTTTTATGGTTTTTAAAGAAAACAATTTTTATGGTTTTTAAAAAAAACAGAAGCAAAATGGTCTTAAATGAAATGTAATAAAAAACAATTTATAGCAATTAAAACTATGAAAATCAAGCAATAACTCTGATTAAATGTACAATAATACGGTTTTTTAAATAATTAGTTTCATAAATGTGATGAAAAACATAGTTGCACTTTGAAATAATATAATATTTTTCGGTAGACTTTTAAAAAACACATTGCGTGTCAACCGAAAAATCGCTTATTCATCCTTGATATGTAAAACTAGCAGCGGTATTTTTTAACATATTTCATACATTCTAACCCTAATTATTAGCTGTTTTTATTATATATTAAATTAAAAAGTAAAATCAAGCCACATAGACACATTTAAGTATGTCTAATTTGCAAATGGCACGCAAGAAAAGTATACAATCCACTCCCAATATCTTGACTTTTTGCCGCTTTATCGCACTACGCGCCCGAAACTAAGTACATAAAAATATTTTGAAACCTGATTTTTCATTTATATGTTAATCGTAAAACATATAATGAATTACGTAAGTTTAAGGGCAGCCAACGTTTATCAACAAAAAAAAGTGAGATTAAAAAATAAAAAAAAGAGCCATATCTTACCTGTAAATTTGTTCGGTGTTAATATGAAATTTAATTCCGGATTAAAAGCATAGCTCATTGAGAGTGTTTCTCAATCAGAACTAATGGAGAAAGAATGGGATACGGAAGAGGAAAAATACCTTCCGCATCTTCTGAGTGCCTCAGTTGGACTAAAAATAAGCCAAAGGTCGTTTTCCTCCTAGAAGTGCCGAAAATACCAGATGTTCATATTTTCCCACTGATTTTGTAGTTTTGGAGGCCACTTTACAACTTGTTTGCTTATTGCCTCTAATGAGAGTGGGAGTTTTAACTTGTTTGGTTATTTGATATTTTCCGGATCAACAATTGACATTTTTTAGTTTGATTACTGTCTAGACTTTGAATAATACAAATATGAGCGATAAATTTCGACAATTCAGTAATTCTTTTTTCCAAGATATTTAATTCAGGAATTTAATATTTTATTGGAAAAAAATTTGATTAAATGGAATGAACAAGTATACAGTATATATTTTACAGCTAAAGCGAGAAAGCCTAGTTAATCTGCAGATTGATTAGGGTAATCAAGTCCACAATATATATATATATATATATATATATATACACTGGTTATCATAAATTAAGGAAAATTCACAAAAATCGCGATAACTCAAGAAATTACACATGGAATTTTATGAAACTTACCCACAATATACAACACATAGTAAGGTATTAAACAACATAAAAAGAAATTATCAGACATTAATAGTAGTATAGAAATTAGCACATGTATAAAATAAACAAATTGGAAGTATCGGTTTGCAATAGAAAAAGTACCTTTAATATGGAATATGATTGCCTCTAGAAGCAATACAGCACAAACAGCGATGTGTGATGCTTTCAATTATGCGGTCTATCAGTTCAATAGGAAGTGAGAGCCATTGCTCTT